GAAAGAAACAAAAGAGAGAGAGAGAGAGAGAGAGAGAGAGAGAGAGAGAGAGAGGGAGGGAGGGAGGGAGGGAGGGAGGGAGGGAGGGAGTAAAAGGTTAATAACAGCTGTAGACAGACATCATGTAAGTGGTGGTAACATGAATTATAAATGTTGAATGAATGACATTACAAAACTGCTGGTATGCAGACAAATAAATTCACACTCACAAAAAGGTCAATTACCACTAAAACCAATTTATACAGTAAAAATACTCTCAATTACTATCAGTTAGCTATGAATTAAACTCACTTGATCGATTGTGAAGTGAACCTGGAGAGAAAAAGGTTGAAAAGTGATACATAGAAATAAAGAGAATAAAATAATTAAAATACATTATAAAATGTACATTGCAGACGCAAATTGTACATAATGATTAAAATAGGCTCAGTCAGAATCATTTTGATACTATAAGAGGAGAGGATTGAGTCTCCACTCACCATTATGGAAGGATCTTTAAGGCGAGCACGAGAACACAAAGACCTTCTCTCTTCTCTTATCAATGACCCACAGAAGAGATCGTGGGAAGCATGTGGTCACAAGGTATTGCACAACAGGGGCGGGGCTTGGACCGGAAAATTGTGGTTCATTAGTGCGTGGGTGTTAATGAAAGGCGTGGCTCAGAAAAAGGTGTGGCTACTTAAAATTGTATGATTACAATTTGATGGTGCAATCTTTGTGTTTTTGATGGTGCAATATCGAATGCTTCCTCCTCTGAGAGTATAAAAGAGCTCAAAAACATCTCAAGCACCAGTACTACCTCACCAACTTTAGTACTACAGAAATAAAGAAAGGTTTTCTCTTCAAACAACTCCATTACCCTGTCTCTCTTTTCTGACCCTCATCCTCAAGAAGTTCTTTGTCTTCATATTATGAGTAGCTCTTCACCAGGAGAAGACTCGAGTGGTAATAAAGAAAGCAAGCAAGAAGGTGCTTCTAATAATAAAAAAGGAACTAAAACCATATCCTCTTCAAGGACCGGTAATAATAAACGAGTTCCTCCATTATGCAGAGAGTACGTCAATAAAGGATCTTGTTCCTATGGTAGCCGTTGTCACTACCGACACCCTCAATCTACTAAACAAGTCTGCCGACATTTCCTGGCCTCAAACTGTCGCTATGGTGACCAGTGCAAGTTCCTTCATCCTCCGAGAGACGATGATTTAACTCTGCCCACTTCTCCTCCTCCTCCTGCCAGTAGGCCTGATGATGATAATTCAAGAGATGATTCAATTACTTTATTAAACACAATGTCTTTCCCTAGCATTTCCTCATCTCTATCAAAGACTAAAGCCCCTTCATTCCAGACCCCTCCTACTATTAGTACCCACCAGCAGTCATCAGCCCCACCTGTAGAGAGAACCAAAGACCACAGGCAGTCAGACCACTCAGGGAGAAGGGCAGAGCCGTTAACATTAGATGCATTCTTTAAAACTGGCAGTCAAGGGAAGGCTGGTCCTGTTTCTGCTCCTGTTGCTAGAGCTCCTGTACCACGTCCTAAGAGAGCAGTGGATTCATCAGTTCCTCTTCAGTCTCTTCGTGATATTGAGATAGAGCAACTGACCAAGCGTTATTATGGGGACCAGCACCAACTGGTAGAGAAGAGCTCTGATAGTTGTGCATATGTTATCAAATTCAGCCCAACAGATCCTGAATGGGTAAGAGATTATAATATGAACACACATTGTACTTTTGGGGTTTGGGGGGTTTTAAATTATAATTTTTCTACTTTTTAGATTGAGAACAAGTTTCCTTCTTTCGACATTAAGATTACACTTCCATCAGAATATCCACGTAAAGTAAGTGTAGATACAAATAGAGGAAATAAAAAGATATATTTTCATTCTTTTATAGCCGTGTAAGCTTGAAGTGGTCAATACTGGTGTCCTATCCATTGACTGTATTGATTCTGTTAATAATGAATTGGAGGGAAGGGTGGAGGATCACCAGCTGGCTAACAGGAGATCAGGACAGCATGAGTTAATGCTTAGGCCAATACTTCACTGGCTGGACAATAATGCAATGAGACTGATACCTCGAACAGTAAGACTGTAATGATTAATATGAATGTTTTTGAATGATCATAACTTGTAACTACAGTATTTAAGTACTACATGTATGTATGGGCTACGACTAATAAAATAAAGTAGCTTCAAAAATTTATAACAAATTCAATTTTGATCTGAATCAGCTCAAACTTTTTACAGAACATAAAACATGTATATGTATCTGAAAAAAATATGAAGATAGAGAATTCTCTACTTTTCAATTTTGACGAAATTTGGCCAAAGTCACTGTACTATATAGTACAGGGATTTTAGCCCAATTTTAGAGTAACTTTAAAAATTTGTAAAAAATCTAAATTTGATTAAATTTAGCTTAAACTTGATACACAACATAGAAATGTGTGTATGTATTAGGAAAAAATATAAAAATGGAGAAATTATATTTAGCCATTTTTGACAAAATATCCTGTGTTACTTTTAAGTACTCATTTACATGTATGGTATATACTTTCTTTTTAATAGTCATTTTTAGAGGACTTTTCCTCTAAAATCAATATCAAAGACGAAGACAACGATTCAGCAACAGCAAGTGATGATGATGATGATGAAGATGATGTAGCTACTACTAATATGAAATATGTCTCACCAGTGAAGAGAGGTACAGAGCTGAGACTAGTGGACATTAAACTAAGTGAAGGAGTTGGAACAATTCAAATGAGTGTCATTAAAGTGACGGTTGAATGTAGCAGGTGTAAGTGCAGGACTGACCTTCTCTGCAAAGAAAACAAGTAAATAAATAAATAAATAATAATAATAATACTTAACTTTTTATTTTAGGGTTACATCTCAAGTATGTTCAAAGTGTAGCCATTGGATATCAGTTCAGTATAATCCTGATCTACTTCATTCATCTAATCACTCACTAGCTTATCTTGATCTTTTAAAGTAAGAACATAATACAACAGATTACAGAGTCATTTATCCTCTCTCACTTTCTCACCCTCTCTCCTTTCCTCTTTCCCTCTCTCTTTGTAATATCTCTTCTTCCCTTCTCCTCTCTCTCTCTCTC